GTAGCTAAATTTTGCAAAATTAAGAATTATGACAAATTATGAAGAATTTAGAATTATTAAGAATTTAAATAAATTTAAATATAAGAAAATCTTAAGAATATTTTATATGTATAAAAAAAATGTTTAAATACTATATTTATTTTATTTAAAAATAATCATGCAGTTTAAAACTGATGATAAATACGCGATATAAAAGAATACATAAATGTATAAATCTTATTATGAAGATATATATCTCAAATGTCACGTAGCTAAATTTTGCAAAATTAAGAATTATGACAAATTATGAAGAATTTAAATAAATTTAAATATAAGAAAATCTTAACAATATTTTATATGTATAAAAAAAATGTTTAAATACTTCATTTATTTTATTTAAAAAATAACCATACAGTTTAAAATTGATGATAAAATACGCGATATAAAAGAATACATAAATGCATAAATCTTATTATGAAGATATATATCTCAAATGTCATGTAGTTAAATTTTGCAAAATTAAGAATTATGACAAATTGTGAAGAATTTAGAATTATTAAGAATTTAAATAAATTTAAATATATTTTTGCCAATATATTCGATATAAAAGTTAACTTGCAAGTTGCCTGTCAAGCATGAGACGACATAACAATGATTGATCGTTATTTCATTGTTATGACACGAAAGGGCCTAATTTCTTGCACTTTTCACGACGATGACAAACACGCGTCGCTCGATAAATTACGCTTTTAAAGCAGAGAAACTTTTACTCTTCTCTCCATTCTTTATGCTCTCGCAACGTTTTCCATAGACGTATATATATATATATATATATATATATATAGCTATAAACGTTGTCCATGTTTTGACAGAATAAGTCGAGAATGGAGGTTCACATCTGCTGTCGACTCTGTTTTCTCTCCACTCGATCTCATTGTCGGATCCTGAAGGATCGCCTTCGAGAAGAGCTCGATTGGGGGGACTTCGAGTGGAATTTGATCTCTTTGCAAGAGAGCAGATAGAAAAAAAGAGAGAGGAGTCTCCATATGGAGGACACGTTTACTGAGGATCCTTAATCCTCTAATGATACGCAGGTGGTAGATTACGCGAATAAAGTCCCTTTTTCCTCGCAAAATCGGGGAAAATATATATTTAATTTTCATCGAGTACTTTCGATTGAAAATAATTTTTACATTTTATATTTATTATTCGCGTATCAATTTTTGTTATAAAAAATAATATACGATAATTTTAGCAAATCTTATCGGCTTATCTGTATCTCGTGGTTTTTTTTTCAATCAAAGAGTGAAAAAATGTTTTATTATTTCGAGGTAAAAAAAAGAATTTCAAAAATGACGAACGCGAAAATAAATCATTCAATCAAAGAGAAAGAAATAATTAAATGAAAAATGTAAAAAATTAATTTTTATTATTTCGAGGTAAAAAAAAGAATTTTCAAAAATGACGAACGCGAAAATAAATCGATGCACCGGGTGCACGTGGGTGCATCCGCACGCACACAATGTGGGGCTCGCATCTCGCCCGTCGAGCTCTGTGTACCAACAAGCTAAACGCGTTTCACAGACGACCGCCTCCGCTGAATACGACGTCTTCGTCGCCGCTGGTGCGATTTGCCGTGGACCCTATATCGCGCCGCCAGGACTCGACTCGACGTATCGTTCTAATAAGGACTCTTTCAAAGAGGTCCCCCTCTTTCTCTGTCGAAGGGTTGAACTATAACAGTGAAATTCACGAATTGATGTTAATTCAATTTTTTAGACAATTTTAGAGTCGATAGTGAACCTCTTAATTTTTTAAAATAAAAAATTGTTTAATCAAGATTTTTTTTAATTAAAAATTTGTTTCTAATCGAAAAGAATTTTTGGAAGAAATTACATTATATTGTTACATTTAAAAATTTTTAGAAGATGGAGCGATGGTGAAGCTCTTAATTTTTTTCAGAGATTGTTTTATTATTTTAATAAAATCTCTCTGAATTTTTTTGAAGAAATTATGTTGTTACATTTTAAAATGTTTATTTGACACCTCGATGCTCGCAACATATCGATTTAAAGCGAGCTCGGACTCGCATGAGCGAACACTCGCTCGCGAGTGGAAAAAGTCGTTTAGCGACAGATTTACGCGTGTCATCGCAGGAACAAAGCGTCGTTCTACGAAGGAACGATTAATGGCAGTCGAAATTTTTCGAATCTGCGATCTCACGCGGTGCACCGGTAGGTGACGAGATCCTTTTTCCACCCGATGCATTGTGTCGTTACTGTTACCCCAGGGCAAAAAAAAACTGTCACATGTAATTGTAACAACACTATTATATTTAATGAGCTCAGATTTATTTTTTTCTGATTTTTAACACTATTTTTTATTCTGATTTTTAATAGTAATAATTATTATTAGTAAATAGTAGTTAATAGTAAATTATTGTTATTAAATTTTATATATATATATATATATATATATATAATATTTTATTATATATTATATTTATAATATAATATAAATATTATATTAAAATAATATATATATATATGTATATAATAAAAATTATATCAAGATTCTGATTGTATTTATAATTTGTACTAGGAAAACGTGGAACGAGGGATGAAAAAAAAAAGATCACGGGCAATTTTACAATATCGAGCTATCTCGGGGTATCCTTTCTACAACTGAGGGTGGTCCTTGCCGAGGAAGGAGGAATGCAATACTCGATTGTTTCGGGCATGCAAACTATTCCATTAATCCCCGGCAATAAAATAAAAGAAACTCGCCCTTCGCGAAGGGGCACATCTGTGCATCGCTGCCTGGCGAAACACACATTTACAAGCATCGCGCACACACATACACCCAGCCGGGGGTCGTTTTATTAATTCACTCCCCTGTCGATTTCAACGACGTGCACGACGTAGCGAAACGCGAAGGTGGAGTAGGCGAAAAGAGAGAAAAGAGGGTGTCTCGACTATTTATTACCTAATTGTCGACCTTAAATTTCCATGAATTATTCCGTCAGGCTCGCAGGTGCTTCCAGGACCATTCTTCCTTGGAAATCGACACGATTAATTTAATTGCATTATGCCGTCACGATAAATTATACACGCGAGCTAATTATATAATTTTTTAAAATAATTTTATATAATTAGGTTTCTTATATAATCACTTGTTGTATATTATAATTTATTATTGATTTACATTTACATTATTTATATTTATTATTATATAGATATAATAAATATAAGTAAATTTAAAAAATTAACGAAATCAATAATAAAAATCTCAATTTAATTCTATAATCGCATTTTTGAAGAAAATCTTATAGCTTCTCGTACATGTTACTGTGTTTATTTTGAAATTATTGTTAGTTTGCGAGGAGGATTTAATGCAACATAATTTTATAAATTTATATATCAATAAATAAGTATCGTCATATATAATATATATAAAAATATATATGTTTCATATATAATTTTATATGATTATATATGAACCCTTATAATTTATATAATTATTAATTATGTATAAAAATGAACATATTTCACATATAATTTTTACGATTATATGTATAATTATACATATATATATATAAATTTATGTATAATTATATATAAAAAATTATTATGTATAATTATATATAAAAAAATGTTTTCCCTAGTATTTTTAAAATTATGACAGTGGAGTTTTAGAGTTGTCGGCAACACTTGCATGCAAAGCACATTTGGATCGCGTATCCGGTCCCTTTAAACCCTTGTCTCTTCGCCGTTACAGAGTGTTAATAGTTTTTCCTAGTCGGGTTCTCTCACGCGCGTACGAGAGGGTGCACGTGCGCGTCCCTTTATCGTGATTTATGATTTTTTCGCGGCCGCATTGATCCCTCGCGGTATTTTGTTTTGCATTTAACGGGGGCGGGATAAGCGCGAATTTGCATACGCGCGAATCGCGAAAATTATTAATGTCTAAAAATTGATTTTGAAAAAGATTGCCTTTATTGCAAATATTTTATAATATATGATTGCTTTTAGCGCACAATATAAAATTGCACATTTTAATTTTTTATATATATATATAAAAATTCGTTTTCTCGGCAAACTTAAAGAAATTAAATAAAATTAAATAGAAAAGAATTAAATAGAAAATTAAATTAAAAGAAATTAAATAAAATTAAATAATGAAATTATATACGAAATTTTCTAGATGGATGAAAAACTGTGGAAAGAGATAAACGAATTCGAGACAGCCCTTGATTCAGTCCGTGAGACGAAATGTTCGTTCCTGAAAATTGAAATCTGTCACGCCTCGGAATTCTTCCTCTCGATGAACTCGCGATCGAGGGGCGAATGTTCGCATTAATGACGATTTTTTTCCGATCGACTGCTCAACCCTTTTCGTTGTCGAACACGACCAGGTGACACATTTTTGTCATCTTGAATTCACCGAGTTTTTTTCCATGCGATTGCACGTCGAATGCGTGACATATAATTGCGTTTTGCTCTTTTAATGTCATCGATACAGATGGGTTTTTGACCTGTGTGAAGATTAGAACTTTGAAATCATCGTATATATAAAAATATACGTGAAAGACAAATTTCCTTTGATCAATTTTTGTCCAAAAGTGAAAAATAATTATTATATTTACAATCATTTTTATTTTATTTTATTATTTTCATGTTTATTTTTTTATTTTTATTATAAATGATTATTATATTATACTTCATTAATTTAATTTAATTTTTTATTTTAATATAATAAAATTTACAATAGCGCAAGGTGTAGGGCGCGCAAAACAGGTTTCTGTCAATGAGGGGAGGAGAAAGAACAAGCGATTATTCATTCGCGCATGTATCGCCAGACGTGATTAGCATGTCACTTAATTCGCCGTGTCCGACAGTGGCCCGGTCGGCGGACATTTATTTAAATTTTACGCTCTTCCCTTGTGTGCCGCAGATGCGCGATCTGCCCTTCGCCACGACGAAGATCCGTGAAATCACGTGCGCCCCTCTGACGACATAAAAGGAGAACGTACGTCGCTAATTGGACCTGAGATATCGTCCTGGAGCATCGCGATTACATGGTGAGCGTCAACGATTTTTCTAATAAAAATGCAGCCGGAAGCACTTCGATTTTCAGGTATTAGGAAGAGCCGGTTTATTTAATTTTCCATTTTCTGATTTAGTACAGCAAGAATAAATCGGACATAATTAATATTCTTACGCCAATTTTTTCACATTAAAATACACGGAGAGAATTTTGTCCTAGTAATCATGCATGATATTTTATAAGAGTTTCTCTGATTAATAAAATATAAAATATGTTCGATTAATTTTGCTGTATACATAGTATAATTTTTTATCATGTCAATTCTTACGCCAATTTTTTCACATTAAAATACACGGAGAGAATTTTGTCCTAGTAATCATGCATGATATTTTATAAGAGTTTCTCTGATTAATATTTACCACAATAAAATATAAAATATGTTCGATTAATTTTGCTGTGTACATAGTATTATTTTTTATCATGACAATTATTAATCAGAGCAACCCTTATCAAATTTTTCGCTGAAAAAAAATTGTTAACTTGACTAAACCTTTCAACGAAATATTATTTTGTTAATTGAACATATAAAAATATTTAAATTAAATCCAACAAAACGTGAAATTTGACTTTAATATGAATATAAGAGAAAATTTTCTCCGCAGTGTGTAAAAGTGTGCAAAAACATGAATTTTAATTACCATTTTAGTTAGAAATATAATATTAATTTGCACAAAGCGGATCGAAATTCTCAAGAGAGTCGAGAGTCGTCTTAATTTTCGATGTATATACACTGAAAAAAAAATGTATTTTATTGGAATAAGTATTCATCTCAATACTGCCAAATGAATCATTTATTTGAAACTAATAATATTTGTTTGATATAAGAGAAAATCCTTTTCGAAACAAATCAATATTTATTAATAATTAAATATGTATTAATTTAGTCATTTCTTTTTCAGTGTCTATATACGTATAAAGGATGAGACACGTGATAAGGAGGGTGGACGATAAACGTGATTAGTCCTCGGAATATCCTGGTTGAAGCACGACCCCGATGAAGCTTAGGCAAGATAGAGAGAGAGAGAGAGCTCTCGCATACTCAGGTGTTCGCTCTCACAGGCCTGGAGATGTGTTTGACGTTCGCATTACAGCGAAAACCACTCGTTGTCCTTAACGTACGTGCGTGCGTGCATCTATATGCGTATTCGGTGCACAATGCGGAGTCCACGCGTTGCAAACGCGTGACGAATCGACGCATTCTCCGGAGTTCGGGCACAGGTTTGCCCAAACACATCCCTCGAAATGCAAATAGGGATGAAACGTGAAAATAGAGGCTTATTCAAATTCTCCAAACAGAAATTTACGGTGAAAAAAGAAATCGCGTTAGAAAGTGTCTCAAGGCTGTTCGATTCTTTTTAGTATCTCGAAACATTTTTTTATTATATCAAAAGAAATGAAGAGGATTTATAAAATTGTCGTAAATATAGCTCTAATTCCTGTGAAACGGACGAATCTAATTTTTATTTTACGGTCACACAATTTGAATAATTTGCAGCTTGCTATACAAAAAGAATTTTCTCTTAGAATTTACCCTGAAAATCATCGTAATGGGACAATATTTTATTGGAAAAATTTTATAAGAGTTTCTCTGATTAATATCTATCACAATAAAAATATTAATATGTATATAGTAAAATTAATTGAACATATTTTATATTTTATTGTGGTAGATATTCATATTTTTTATTTTGTGGTAAATATTGTCTCATAATTATCATAATTTTGAGGATAAATTCTAAGAGAAAATTCTGTGCAGAAAAGGATAGTTTTTTAATGACATTATAAAAGATTTTTTGTATATAAAATAATTATTTTTGCACAATTACATCGCATTATACGGGGATATGGAAAATTAAACCAAATTCATCGTTAAAATTCGACACCTCTAAAATTGTCCTGCACAATTTTCTAAATTGCACTTTAATTTACCGTTCACCGTGTATCGAGAATTAAGTGATTCTCGTCGGAATCAGAGGGAGGAAAAGGGGACGAATTGATCCCGGTGAATAAGTAACGGTGGCGCGTAGGAAAAAAAAAAAATATCGTCGAAATTCTCGCGCCCCTCCTAGAAAATCCACGCACGGCTTATCCCGGCTTATTCCGGCTTATCCCAATCATTGCTGCCCCGCTCGGCTCCTTCCTGGTGCCAATTACGTCAAATCAACGTCACGGGACAATGGCACATGCGTGCGTGTGTACATGCACGTCGAGAGAATATCACGTTGTATACGCAATATCGAGGTACATACGAGACGTTTCTCCGGCTATTCAATTTTTAATTTCCTGCCCTGACCCCGGGATTAAAGGGCCGAGTGCCCCGTTAGCTCGAGATCCTTTTGCGAGATCTCCGCAAAAAATTCTTTGAGCAATTTCAGGAATGCTCCTTCTCTTTTGTTTTTATTATCAATGTGGAAATTTTTTTTTTCAGGAGTTACGGTTATATAAAATTATTTTTATTTTAAATATTTAATATAATATTTAAAGATTATATACAATTATTTTTTAAATAATTTAATTTTTTAATATCGTATCTAAAATTCTTTTGTATTATTTCGTATACTCAACAAAATTAATAAATTTTTGCGAACGAAATAACACCAAATAATTGTATATAATTCTGTATAAATAAATAAATAAGCATTTAAATAATTCTAACTTAAAAAATATATTCTCTATACTTTATATTGTGTTGTAAAATTATGTAATTCGCGAATTGAACGAATTATCGCAATTTCTTGCCGAGATCCACGAGAGATTCATGGCGAAAGTCGCGATAACATCGAGCACACTCGCGCATACTAAATGTGCACGCGTCTCGTTCTCGTATTCGACTAATGACCGGCTGTCAGTGCTTCCACGAGCACACGGGGATGAATGGGACGGTTTAACAGCTCGTATATGCAGGCGGGGGCGGCTCGCGTCATTGTGATCCCCGTCACTCTTGTCGTTTCACCCGCTATAGGGTCAATATTGTACGAGTGATGGAGCGTATCCCGTGTTTCTGTTTGTGCAGACGAAAGGAAAAAGAGAGAAAGAGAGAGAGCACAGGTCTGCGAAATTAGCGCCAATTAGAGACTCGTATAGCGCTACGCCGCCCTTCGCAAGGTGCGGGACACCTTTTGGTAAACGGTACATTTACCCTCTATCCATTTCTCGAGAATCGTAAAACGAATTTTATTTGCGAGAAGAATCAAAGGACTACACAGATTGCGGATCAGATGGCGGAAAATTAAAATATCAGCATCTTGTTTCGTATATTTTTTATTGAATTTTTTGATATTATTTTTGTGTGAAAGGATTTTTAATTAAAAGTTTCAAATTCGATTTTTTATTTAAATTTTAACAACTTTTTATTAATTAGAATTATTAGAATTTTATTTGTCAAATTATTTAAATTGCTTATTAAAAAATATTGTAGGGGTTTTCTTTGAAGCTGTTTTTATTAGGAAAATTGACTTTGAATTTATTAAAGAATCCATCACTTTAATTAAATTTTCAATTGTCATAAGAAGAAAAATTAAAGCTTAATAAATTTCATAAGATGAAATATTGATATAAAAATATACATATAAGAAGAATTATTTTCATTTTCATAATTTTAATAATTAAATAAGTTTTAATAATTTTAATTAAACTTTAATATGTTTATTCTATACTAAAAATACTATACTTTTTTTTATTTTTGTGAACAAATCTCCTCTGAATTTCAATTAATTATTATTATTAAATCATATTTACCGCGCACTAGTAGAATGACGTTGCCGCTGTTCGTGGAACAGCGACTAACTTCAGCCATTACCGAAACGCCGCGAGTACCAGGCACTTCGAGCTGCGTTCCGCTGTGATTAATTAGTAAACACAATCATTCCTACCCTTTGTATTGTATTGTTAGTTCTAGCTATATTTATATTGTGTATGTTTTCATGCGAAATAATAAGATTATTCTAATATATGTATGTATTTCGTTTGTTACAGGTTTGCGATTCAATCGTGTCGGGAGTGCCGTGTAAAAGTTCGGGCGATCGTATATAATTATTCGTATTTTCGCGAGTGAGTGCTACGAAGGACCAAGAGAGGATCAAGAGAGGAGGCTGAAGAGGCATCGGGTGACAGCGGGGCAACTGTGAGGTATGTATGCACGTAAATAATTTATAACACATTTAATTTATTAATTCGCTACTGGTAAAATTACCTGCTTTATTTCTTCACGGAATATTTTACATTATATATACTATTTTTAGGCATGTAAATTATTTTTGAAATTTTTTTTTTTAAATCTTTGCTTTAAATATTTTATAATATACAATAATATTATATATAATATATATGTGTATACATTATTTAATTTTTTTTTCAGATCAATGATGTGTACTACTACAACTCCGCTATTGCAGGTATCGGTGAGTGAGAGATTGTTATTTTATAACATGTTTATAGAGGTGTGTAAAGCGTCTCATTTCGTGGAAACATAAATAATTAAGAATTCTGGCTTTATTTTTAATTGTTTTAGAGTTCTTGATACGCGGACAGAATTTTCATGTAGAATTTGCTCCGAAAATCATGATAATATGATATTAGAAGAATTTTATAAGAGTTTGTCTGATTAAATATTTATCACAAAATAAAAAATACTAATATGTACATAGTAAAATTAATCGAACATAATTTATATCTTATTGGATAGATATATTATTATTTTTATTTGTGTGGTTTAAACAAATAATAGTTCTGGCGATTAAGTAATCTATTTGTGATCTTCCACGAAATGATCTGCTGCAATTTCACACCGAGAATCGTAAGGCGGAACGTATGTTGTTTCGCACCGACTGAGCCCGTTCACCGATTACGACGATATCACCGTCATAATCTAATCCGATCAATCGCTAGTGCGATCCATTACCGTAATCCACTTTGCGCTACGTCCTCTTTCTGATGCAGATGTCTCTCTTTCGTCGCGCGTTGCTAGAATAAAAAAGGGTCGTGACAGAGCGATATGCAAATCGGATCCTCGTTCGCCTTCTCAACGTCCATCACTTTCGCTTTTCAGCTCCAATCTTGGATCAGTTCTTTTATATATCTATTTATATTTTTTATTAAATTTATTAATTTTTTTATATATTTTTTATAAATATTTTTTATAAATTTTCTATAGCTTAAATTTTTGACATTTGCAACATATCTATTTATATTTTTTATTAAATTTATTAATTTTTTTATATATTTTTTATAAATTTTCTGTAGCTAAAATTTTTGACATTTGCAACTTGCCGCGTAACATATCTCGCAAATCTGCATATGCGCGCGAGAGATGACGAGTTGGAAGATAAAGGCGACGAGGAGAATAATTTTCTGAGGTTCGCGCGTTGCGAGTCGCAAAACGTCGCTTACGTTACGACGGCGTGCGATCACGTTTTACGGTCCCGCGTTGCAATGCAGGCGGAATAAAATCGGCGGGATGTGGTCGGAATACCGCGGCCGGTGCCTTATTTTGCGGCCGGCGAAAAACCGCAGAGACAATCGACGTTCGTCCCCGCGCGTTTTACGAAACGCACCTCTGCGAACGTTCTTTGCGATGCGACGCGCCTTCAAACACGGCGTAACTGGGGGATTTATGCCGAAAATTTGCATCTTGGAGAAAGCACAGCAGCGATCGGAAATCATTTTCGCAATTTTTGAAACTCTCCAAAAAATTGGGAGTTTTGATGAAAATGGTGCACAATAAATAGTATCATATTGTAATTATTTATTTATAATATAAATTATTAATTGATATTACATTTATTGATTTAATATTCATTTTAATTATAATATTATATATAAATTATATATTATTATTATTAATATACACATGATATTATATTTATTTATTTAATATTAATTTTAATTATAATATTATATTATATATTATTACTATTAATATACATAAATATTGAATAAAAAAATATAATATCGAAAACATTTTTACACGTGCACGATCTGATAAGTATAACAAAAATAATTTAATAAAGGTCCAGAAAATTTAATTTTAAATCGACCAGAAAAAATGATAAAGAAACTAATGAATATTTTTATTTTTTAAAACGTATAATCAATCTTTTCTAGAGATGACAGACGACACTTTTTTATCTTTCCTCTGTCTTTCAAGATTCGGAAACTGCGCGATCTCGAAATGATCCTATCGAACAAATAAACGTATACGAATACGTAAAATTTGAGTCACATGGCGAGAAAGAAGGGAAAGAATTTATTCTATTTTCGAGCACCTTGCCGACTTTTCGTCGATCGATGAGATCCTCGGGGCCTCAGGGTGACCCTCGTAACGCGATATGTCGATTTACCTGAACTGTTCGTCCGTCTGTCATCGAGAAAGCAAGTCGGCTTTTCGACTTTCGACTTTGATTGACGGCCGAATCGGTTCAATCGAGGCTACCGAAGGCTATCGCTCGCGTTTTTGTGTTTGACGCGCTCGTTTTGAACCCTGTCGCATCTGGCGGAGAGAGAGACGTTCGATACGCTATAATTATGTGCCATCCGTTCCTGTTTCGCCACTCCCGTTTATTATTAGGAGCCGAGACGATTGTGCAAAAATTCAGATTAATAATTAATGACATTTCGCTCGCTGACGTAATAATTCTTATTTATAAGTACACGGAGAGAATTTTCTCTTAGACTTTACCGTGAAAATTGTGATAATATATGGTATTAAAAGAATTTTACAGGAATTTCTCTGATTAATATTTACAATAAAAATTACAATAAAATATTACCACAATTATATTATTACAATAAAAAATATTAATATATGTACATAGAAAAATAACATATTTTATATTTTAGATATATTAATATTTTTTTATTGTGATAAATGTTAATTAATTAGAGAGGCTCTTATAAAATTCTTTCAATATTATATTGTGCCACGATTAGCACAATTTTTAGGATAAATTCTAAGAGAAGTGAAACTCTCTGTGTATTTAATATCATTAATGCATAATTTTTTTATTGATTAAAAATTCGTAAAACTGAGTCGGATGAAGGATTTTTATAATTTAAATAAAACAATAGATAAAAAAATTCTCTTATATATATAAATACCAAATCTTTATTACTCTTATAAAATTCTTCCAAGATTATATTGTCCCACGATTAGCACAATTTTTAGGATAAATTCTAAGAGAAGTGAAACTCTCTGTGTATTTAATATTATTAATGCATAATTTTTTTATTTATTAAAAATTTGTAAAACTGAGTCGGATGCAGGATTTTTATAATTTAAATAAAACAATAGATAAAAAATTTTCTTATATATATAAATACAAAATCTTTATTACTCTTATAAAATTCTTTCAAGATTATATTGTCCCACGATTAGCACAATTTTTAGGATAAATTCTAAGAGAAGTAAAACTCTCTGTGTATTTAATATTATTAATCCATAATTTTTTTCATTTATTAAAAATTCGTAAAACTGAGTCGGATGCAGGATTTTTATAATTTAAATAAAACAATAGATAAAAAAATTCTCTTATATATACATAAATACGAAATCTTTATTACTCTTATAAAATTCTTTCAAGATTATATTGTCCCACGATTAGCACAGTTTTTAGGATAAATTCTAAGAGAAGTAAAACTCTCTGTGTATTTAATATCATTAATGCATAATTTTTTTATTGATTAAAAATTCGTAAAACTGAGTCGGATGAAGGATTTTTATAATTTAAATAAAACAATAGATAAAAAAATTCTCTTATATATACATAAATACGAAATCTTTATTACTCTTATAAAATTCTTTCAAGATTATATTGTCCCACGATTAGCACAATTTTTAGGATAAATTCTAAGAGAAGTAAAACTCTCTGTGTATTTAATATCATTAATGCATAATTTTTTTATTTATTAAAAATTCGTAAAACTGAGATGGAGGATTTTTATAATTTAAATAAAACAATAGATAAAAAAATTCTCTTATATACATAAATACCAAATCTTTATTACTCTTATTATTAGTATTTATTTAGTATTTCGTGACTGTGCATGTGGCGACATTTATTAGAATCCGGTACGACGATCTCCAGTATCTGAAAGGACATCCGGTGTCGGAGAAGGGAAGAAAAGGGAGAATATATATGTACATATATATATATATATTTATATTATAATAGAGACGCTCACGCGTACGTGACGTGTAATTAAACGCGTAGTCGCGCCGATTCCGGGCACGATCGGTATTTGTGTCTGTGATCCCCTGCGATGCTGGCAATTACCGGGAGCTTAGAGCACCAAATACGGAGTAGCTCAAAGCTCGACCCACCCTCTGACCACCCCCTGGCACTGCCGTGACGGGAGGGACACGTGCCTGCAAATATTATTCATATCCCCCTGGATGCGGGACGAGAGCCTCAAGTCTCTCCCTCTCTGAGGACGAGGGTTTGAAATTTGTCCGAAAGAATCTCTCCGGGTGAAATTGCCGCGACGAAATTATGAAATAATCTCTGCAGTCGACGCAATCTCAATGAATATGAAAATGAAGAATAGAACTTAAATTATAATTGAAATATATATTTTAGTGAAAGCCTTAAAAACTGAGAAATAACAATCTATTAAAACGCAATTAATTATAAGGTTTTATTTTTTTAACTTTTATTCTCGAAATATAAAATATAAAATTGTATATAATAAAAAATATATAATTATAAAAGACGTAACATATGTATTATATACATTATAAGAGACGTTATACTGTCTAGAGCTTTAAAATTAAATTTGCAAAAATATATCCTTTGATGAAAATTAAATTAATGATGCACGACGAAAATTTTCTCTTAGAATTTACCCTGAAAATCATAGTAATCTTGGGATAATATGATATTGGAAGAATTTTATAAGAGTTTCTCCGATTAAAAAATATTTACCACTCTTGTTGTGATAGATATTAATATTTTTTATTGTGGCAAATATTTTTATATAAAAAATTCTTATATAAAATTCTTTCAATACCATATTGTCCTACAATTACCATGATTTTCAGGGTAAAGTTTCTCTGTGCGATTATTTTTAACTCTACTTGATTATTCCAACATAAACCAATTAAAAATGCTCACACTTCTACTCTTGGGACAATATGATATTGGAAGAATTTTATGAGTTTCTCTGATTAAAAAATATTTACCACTCTTATTGTGATAGATATTAATATTTTTTATTGTAGCAAATATTTTTAATAGGAGAAACTCTTATATATAAAATTCTTTCAATACCATATTGTTTTACAATTACCATAATTTTCAGGATAAATTTTAAGAGAAAATTTTGCGATTATTTTTAACTCTACTTGATTATTCCAACATAAACCAACTAAAAATGCTCACACTTCTAATCTTGGGACATGATATTG